GCAGGCCCTTCTGGCTTTCATAATCTCTGTTGAGTAGTCAGCTGTGATTCTGATGGGTTTGCCACCATATGTTATTTGGCCTTTTTCCCTTGTAGTTTTAAATTTTTTTTTTGTTGTTGTTCTGTATACTTACTGTTTTGGTTATTATGTGGTAGGAGGATTTTCTTTTTTGGACTAATTTATTAGGGATTCTGTAGGCCTCTTGTATGCTTATAGACGTCTCCTTTAAATTGGAGAAATTTTCTTCTATGATTTTCTGGGCCTTGGAGATGGGAATCTTCTTTTTCCTCTATTCCTATTATTCTTAGGTTTTGTCTTTTCATATTATCTTGGATGGTTTGTGTTAGGAATTTTTTAGATTTTTTATTTTCTTTGACCGATACATCTATTTCTTCCATTTTATCCTCCACATCTGAGATTCTTTCTTCCATCTCTTGTAGTCTGTTGGTTATGTTTACGTCTGTAGTTCCTGTTTTTTATCCTAAGTTCTTCCTCTCCATGATTTCCTCTGTTTGTGTTTTCTTTAATTTTTCTAATTCTATCTTCAGATCTTGCATCGTTTTGTTGATTTCCTTCATCTGTCTGACTTTATTTTCCTGGTTTTCCTTCAATTCCTTCACTTGTTTGTTTGAACATTCCTATTTCTTTTATTTCTTTCAGTGAGTTAATTATTTCCTCTCTGAAGGCCACAAACTATTTGGCTGTGTCTTCCTGTATTTCTTTACAGATGGCCATATTCTGTTTGACTTTATCTTTCTCTAGTTCTTCATGAATTTTATTTGTTTCCTACATGATCCTCTTCATAAGCATAGATGTATGGTCATCTTCTTGAATTTCACTTATGTTAGGGTGTCCATGGCTACTTGCCTCCAGAAAACTGGGTTCTGGAGATGCAATATTGCTTTTCGTTTTGTTGGTTGTGTTTTTATGCTGGACTCTGCCCATCTGGCTATCTCAGGTGTTGCCTGTTGACTTCTGGTGCCTGGTAGAATCCTGGGGTGGGGTGAATCCCCTTGGCAGGGTTCTGAAGGAGGCCTCCTCAGCTTTTTGGTTATGGTCAAATGAATGGTGGTGCTTCTCAGGCATTGTCACAGTTCACCTCAGACAGATGAACTATGGTGTTCAGGAAGGCTCTCCTTTCATCAGGAGAAGTTCTGGTGATGGCTGTCCTGCTGCTGGGTTTCCTGCTCTGAATTTAGTGAGCTGCTGTTCTCATGCTGTGTTTGCTGGGTGCAGCCCTATTGAAGAACCACGGAGCCCCACAGTTTGGGTTTTTTCATTTTAGCTAGGAATAACTGGTTGCACCTTGGAGCAATATCTGAAGGCTGCTCCAGTGGCTCTCAGACTTCTGATGGTCTGAGGTTGGAGCTGTGTACTCCAGTACCCTAGCAGTAATCAATAGCAGATGGGCACAACACGCATGCATAGCCAGAGCCTAGTGCTGTGGGCACCCAGAAACTCTTCTGGGTGTTCTGAGGTTGGACCTGATGTTTCCTCCACTGTGGGTTTCCTCCCAACAGGGACACCCAGTCTGTGGTGTTTGGGGGTCGGCAGTTAAACATGATGGCAAGTTAAACATGCAGGTGCAGGCACGTGGCTCTGCCTTGCTGGCAACTGGACATCTGGGTGCCTGCAGGAAACCTGGGAACTTTTCCTGAGAACTTTTCAGTTCTATCTAGGATGATTAGTCAGGTGTGCAGTCAGGACTCTGTGTCCCCCGGACCTTGGGTCCTTTTCTAGGGTTTGTTTGAGTGACCTGAGGTCAGTTCCGATCACTTCCTGAACCATGGGGTTTTTCTCATGACTAGAAATCCCAGTCTGGTGTTTTGGGGCCCACAGTTCAGTCTGGGATGATGATCAGAGCATGCTAGTGTGTGGCTCTGAGCTGGTGACTGAGCCCCAGGCAGGACCCAGGAACTCTTCCGCAGTTTATCTGGGTGACCTGAAGCCAATTGAATCCCACACCTTGGGGTTTCCTCTCACTTGGGAAACACAATCACTGGTGGTTTAGGTCCCAGAGTTCCATCTGCTGGTCACTGTGCGGACCCTGCTGTGCTGCTGGTAAGAAAGAGTGTCCTCTGGCTCCGCCATCTTGGATCTCCCTCTATTTCTGAGCCCTCTGTTCTTTCCATTGGTTGATGTGTATTTTTGTGCCAGTACCACATTTTAAAAAATTTGTTTAATTTTAAAATTAATCTTACTGTGGCTATGTAGTATTATCTGTAATCAGGTGTTTTGATCCCTTCTGTGTCACTGCTATACCAATGAAGCTCTTAATTATTATATATTGATGTTGTATTTTGCTATTTTGCCAAACCTGTTATGAAAGTTTAAATGTTTTCCAATGGAGACTTTAGGATCATCATGGTTTTTTTTTTTTTCAAAAAGAAATAATTTTACTTCTTCCTTTCTTATTTGTATGCCTTTTATTTCCCTTTCTTGCCTTATTGCTCTAAGACTTCAAGCGCCACGTTAAATAAGAGTGAAGAGAATGAATATCTTTGCTTTGTTTCTAGTATTGAGGAAATCCTTTCACTTTTCTCCCCATTTCAGTTAGCTATAGGTTTCTTACATATCACCTTTATTATGTTGCAGTATGACCTTATATTTCTAGTTGTTCCAGGGCCTTTATCATAAAGAGGTATTGAATTTCACCAGAAGTATATTTTGCATACATTGAGATGATCATGTGATTTCTATCCCTGATTTTTTTTTCTATTGTGTTTATTGGTTTGCATCTGTCAAAATGTCTGGCATCCTTGGAATAAACCAGATGATCATGATGTATTTTATTAAAGTTTTTTTTTTCATCTACTTGCATTGAGAGAATTGTTGTATACTTTTGTTTTTCGTTGTTGTTTTGTCTTTCTCCAGTTTGGAATCAGTGTAATACTGACTTGATAGATTGAGATTGGAACCCTCTTTTCCCTTTGGCTTATGGAATACTTTTTATAATATATAAGTTTTTTTCTATGTATTAAGATTTTTTTATGGCCTAGAAAAATAATTTATTTTGAAAATGTAAGATAAGCATTCTGTAGGTGTCTGTTAAGTCTAGTTGATCTGCAGTGCAGTTTAATTCTAAAGTTTCTTTTTTGACAATTTTTATACATGTATATAAAGTTTTTTATTGCATACACTCATTACCTTCTCTTATCTACCCCCTACTCCTGTTGCCTCTTCTTCTTTACAATAAAATCTCCTACTTTCATGTCTTTATGTGTGCATGTCTTTATGTGTGTGGCTCACTAAGCTTATTTAGGTTGATTTATTGAGAATGAGTTGAGGGTTATTTGCTAAAGTATGGGCTCTTAACCAGTTGCTACATCACTGAAGAAAATGATTCCCTCCAATCCTCACCAATAGCCATATACTGCTAATAGCTCTTGGGAGAATATCCAAGTCCCTCCCCATCTGTGATAGAATGTTGATGGGCTCAGTATTGTGTGGGTAATCACAGCTTCTATGAGTTCATAAGTGCAGTAGATAAGTCATGTCCAGGGGATAGCATTTTTATAGCACTATTTCTCATTCTCCAGTTCTTACACTCTTTATCTTCATTCATCTATGATGTTCTCTGACCCTTGGAGGATGTGGTATACATGCTCCATTTAGAGCTGAGCACTCAGCAGTTACTCAGCACTTTTTTTTGGTATGTGTGTATACGTCTGAATATGAACGTGTATATGAGTGTAATATATGCCTCTATGTGTGTGTGTGCATGTGCGTGCATGAGCACATGCAGAGGACAGGTAAGGACGCCAAGAAATGTATCATTTCCAACCACCTTACCCTCTAAGAAAGGATTTATCACTGAACCTAGAACTAGATAAGTGGCTACCAAGCCCAGCAACCTTCCTATTTATACCCACTCTCTTAGGTGTGCTGGACTTTTAGGTATTGGCTTTTTATGTTGATTCTGGGGATTTGAACGTGGGTACTTATTCTTTATAACACATGTTCTTACTGATCTATCCCATCAGTTCTGTTCTCAGCCTTTTGACCTGTTATAAGTCTCTGTATTCACTACCACCCACTGTAAGAAGAAACGTCCTGACCAAAACTCACTTCAGCATTAACCTGTGAGCATAAATATTTAGAAGACAGTTTGATAACATATCTGTTTAGCAAAATAACAGTAGTAGTACATATGGGCTCCCCGGCCACAGGTTTGACCAGGTTACAATAGGAAATGTAATTTCTCTTTTGTGGAACAAGTCTCTAGTCCAATCAGAAATCAGTTTTTTATCCACATAACAGTGAAGCCACTATTGTACAAATGGTCATATCTTGCCTTGCTGATCAATATTGGAACACACAGGATCAAAATCTTAGTTAGATCACTAATAGTATTTTCACCCTATGAAAGATAGTCTCCAAGAAGATGCTTTCAGTCTGTTTTAGCTTCATTTCTCTCTGATATCACGTCCATGTGATATCAGTAGGATCTTATCATTCAGTTCTTGAAACCAAGTAACTGAAGTTTCTTTGGTTTCCTTCTTTGAAAGGTTAACTATTTTTGTAAGGTTTGTGTGTAACTTATCACTTATATTTTGCAAACAATGAAATTTCAGTGGTTTTTTTTCTGTCCTTTACTCTTGGCATTTTAATTATCATATGGTATAAAGAAATTATTTTCTGCCATTCAGAGCAACAACATCAAAACAAATAAGATATAGAAATATGACAAAACTTAACTAAATGCAACTAGCTCAGGTCAATAACTGAAAAAAAATGTCAAAAATATAAACTATTAATGATGGAAAGAAGAATAAGAAAAAGAAGAAGACAATGAAAAGTACAATTTTGGAAAATAGAAAAGGAAAGGGAAAGAGAAAGATGAAGCAAAGATAAATAAAATAGAAAAAGGAGGAAAGAGAATAGAAAAAAAATGTTTGAGAGAACAAAAGAGCAAGAAAAAAAATCTAATTAGAACATAAAGGGAAGGCGAGTCAATAAAGCTATGAAAAGATTAGAAGAGAAATGAGAAACATGAAAGACCTTCCCCTAGAGGCGTTGCAGGTGTGGCTTCTGTGTCACATGTGTATCAGTAGGTGGCAGAAAGGAGAGATGTTGTATCTATGCTCAGAATAATGTATGACTTATGAACATCTGAAAAAAAGCAAGCCTGAGATGATCACCAGTCTAGCACCACACAGGCCTTGGGGATGGGGCAGACCATGCCTGAAATGACTCTGGCACACACCATATTGCATGAACAGGGCATAACACTCTTGAGACAACACCAGACACTCAGCGACCCTAAGTGTCACTAAGAGGAGTAAGTAAGTGGTGGAGAAATGGAAGAGAAAGACAAACAGAAGGATTTGGGCACAATAAAGAGAGAACTGGAGACCTGATGGTAGTGAGGAACCACCTGATGTGAGTAGGAGGTGATGTCACCTGGGACTGTGGTAAGGTCCTGGCCTGTGTTGCCACCCAGGGCCATGCTTAGGTCTGTGTCACTGCAGCAGCAGGGGTCTGTTATCACCAAAGGTGAGGCAGACTCCCCTGGTCTGGGCATCCTCCTGGGGATATGTTGATGTCTGAGGGCTGTTCAGAACTGGCCCCACCCCTTAGCTTGGCAACATGGGAGAGCTGGGCATGAAAGTGGGAAAGCTGACTCTTCCCCTAGCTGCAGTACTCAGGAGAGTGCCCCAACATTGTGGGGCTATGAGTCAGCCCTGAGAATGCTAGCATGGGAGAGCTGGCCCTATCGCTTGGTCACATGAGTTGGAACAGATGAGAGAGAGATACCCTCCTCCCCATTTGCTGCTTACTGTCAGCAGCAGGTGGAATACCTGGCCTTGGAATCATGAGAGCAAAAGAATGGTCCTTGCTCCTCACCTACTGTAGAACTTGGGAAAGCAGGCCCTCTACCTCACCTGAGCAACACAGTAGACCTGACCCTGATGGAGGAGGCAGAGGTGAGCTGGCCCCCAGGGTATGAATGTGGGAGAGCTGGCTGCATGCTTGGTCAAGGGAGAGATGCCCTTCCCCGCCCTCACTCCTTGCCATCGATGGGAGGCAGGAGAGCTGGCCCTGCCCTTCACCTGCTGCATCATTTGGGAGGGTGGGCTTGGCACCTTGCCTGGGCAGCGGGGTAAAGCTGTCTCTGGTTGTGAGCACTGCTGGTAAGCCAGTCTTGAGGGCACAAGAGCAGAGGACCTGGCCAGCTGATTAGCTCAGATACCTCCCAGACCCAGATCCAGGGCTTTGAATTGACTCACTCCAACATCTACTAAATCAATGAACTGCTGGAGTGCATGAAGGGGCTATTCCTACAGATCAAAACTACAGGATCTCCATGACTTGGGGGCAATAGCAGGATATCTCAGAGAAGTCCCAGTGAATGTTCAGTATTGATAGAGTAGCAAAAGCCAGGGGCCTTGCACCAGACCAACAAGTCATTGCAATGAACATTTGCAAGCAAGCAAGCAAAAAAAAAAAAAAAGTGCGCAAAAGAGTATTTTGTGGGACACACTGTGACACTCTACAGCTTCCACAGTGAGGTTCTTTTTTCTGTTTTGCAGGGGAAGTTACAACGGTGGAGGAAAGGGGGAGATTAGTGGTATTGGTATGCATGACGTGTTACAAAGAATCAATAAAATTTTTTAAAAACATGAAAGATTTCAAAAAACTAAAATAAAAACAATACTAAGAAATAAATAGAATAACAGACAAACAAGGGAACAGAGAAGTAGGAGGAGAAAGAAGAAGAAGATGATGATGGCTGGAGAACGTTTTTTGTTGTTTGTTTTAATTCTGTAATAGAGCGTATTGGAATCCACCCCATCTGGGAGGATTACTAAGCAGTGCATAGGCTCTGTTCCCCACTTCTTAACAAAATCCCTAAAAGCCAGGAGAGTATGGGGCAGTGTATTCTAAGTGCTGAAAGACAATGATTGCCAATCCAATCACCACATGCAGCAAATATATATGAGATAAGTAAATGAGAAATAAAAAAAATTCCATGATAAAACCAAAGAAGTTTATGACACTAGATTAGAGTAGTTAAAGGGATCCTTGAATTGAAGAGAAAAGTAAACATATGGAAGAGTATATCATGCTGCAGAGCAGTTAAGGAAGAGGGAAACACTTGATACTACAAAAATCAACAAAATGACAGGAATTAGCATGTATTTTCAATAATGATTTTGAACATTATCAGACTAAATTCTCCAATCAATAAGTATAGACTAGTAGATTATATTTCCTAAAAAAAACAAACAGCAAAGAGCTCCATCTATTAGTTTTTTCTAAGAAATATAACAAACATTAAAGACAAATAAAATCTTAGGGTGAAAGTATGGGAAAAAAGTACTACAGACAAAGAGTACTTGAAAGCAAGCGGGAAAAGCTGTTCTAATAGATGACAAAACAGATTTCAAAACAGAATTATTCAGAAGAGATAACACAGATTAATTCAAACACAACAGTAGTGAGTGATGAGTGACATCAATAGTCCACTTTAACCAAAAGACATGTCATCCCAACAACAACAACAAAAACCAAACAGATACAAATCTGAATTAAATGGCATCATGAATCACATGTACCTAAGAGACACCTACAGAATATTCCACCCAAACACTGAAGTGGCTCAATGGGCCACTGAGAATAATTTCTCTAAAATATATCATGTAGTAGGACACTAAACAACTCTTAACGAAGATGGAACAACTGAAATAATTTCTTGCATTCAATCTGACTACAGGGAATAAAGCTAGAAAAACTCTATGACAAACACAAACTCAGAGACTGAGAAATGCATATTGAATGATGAATGGGCCACTGAAGAAATTTAAAAGATTTAAACATTTCCAGAATTGAATAAATTTGAAAGCACAATGCACTAAAACCTACAGAATACAATGGAAATATTGCTAGGAGAAACATTCAGAGCTGTAAATGCCTGTATTAAAATGTCAAAGAGATTTAAAAATAAATAACTTATAATACTCTTAGACTGTTAGGAAAATGAGAGCAAGCCAAACCTCAAATCAGTAAAAGGGAAGAAATATTCAAGATCTGGAAAGAAATCAATAAAATGGAGGTGAAAAAATACAAAGAATAAACAAAATCAAGAATTAGTTCTTTGAAAATAAAAATGACTGATAAACCTTTAGCTAAACCAACCAAAAGATAAAAAAGACCCAAACTAATAAAATGATAAGATAAAAATGAAGACATTGCAACAGAGTCCAGTAAAATTCAGAAAATTACTGGAGCATACTAACTTTTGAAATAATCCATTTTAGAAGTCTGTAAACGTTTTGCCCACATAGATGTATGTGCACCATGTGCATGTCTGGTACCTGTGGAGGCCAGAAGAGGGCATTAGCCCCCCTGAAATTGGAACTATAGACGGTTGTGACCTACTGTGTGTGCTGGGAACCAAAACAGATTCTCTTCAGGCACTGCAAGTGGTCTTAACTATTGAGCAATCTCTCCAGCCCCAATGTTAGGAAATCGCCTTAAAAAAACTTTTATTCTAAAACTGGTCAAGTTAAAAGAAATGAATAAATTTCTAGAATGTATGACCTGCCAAAATTAAACAAAGATGGATAACTTAGTAGCAACAAAACAAGCAATGATGTTGAAGCATTAATAAAAAATTCTTCGCTAAAAAAGTCCAAGTCCTGGCAGAATCACTGGTGAATTCTACCAGATCTTTAAAAAAATTGACAGCAACATTTCCCAAATGATTTAGTAACATAGAAAGGGAAAAGCCCTCAAACCTCTTCTATAAAGCCAATATTGTCCTGATACTACTACCAAATAAAGATACACATAAAAAGAAAATTATAGGCCAGGCTCTTTGATGAACATAAATACAAAAATTATCAATAACATACTTGTAAACAGAAGTAAAAAATTCATCAAAAAGATTATTCACCATAATCAAGTGAGCCTCATTCTACAAATGGAGGGCTGTTTCAAATATGCTAATCAAACAATGCATATAGTGCCATGAACAGACTCAAGGAGAGAAAGAAAAATCACATTATAGTCTCAATATTTGTAGAAAAGACTTTTAACAGAATCCAATATTCTTTCATGTTAAAGACTGTAAAAAGCAGGAGAAACTGTGAAGAAAATATAGCTCAACATAAAGACTGTGTATGACAAATGTACAGCCAATGTTGTACTAAGTAGGGAAATCTGAAAACACTTCCACTAAAATCAGAAAAAGGCAAAGATGTCCACTCTTCTCGTTCTTATTCAATACACTGCTTAAGTCTTAGCTAGAGCCATTGGAAAAGAGAGTAAAATAAAAGAGATACAAATAAAAGTCAAAGTGCCTTTATTTGTAAATAATGATTCTTTACCCAAAAGACTCTAAAGACTCCACTAGAAAACTCTTAGACCAGATAAAATATTATATACTACTAACAAACATACTGAGAAAGAAATTAGAAAAACATGCATTTACAAATGCCTAAAAGTATGTAAAAATGAACTTAACCATAGAAGTGAAATGTTTCTATAATTAAAACTTGAAAACAGTAAAGGAAGAACTGAAGAAGACACTACAAGATGAAAAGCTCCCATGCTTTTGAATAGGAAAAATAAACATCATAAAAATAGCTACACTAGTAAAAGCTATCTAATGACTTCAACATCAACTTGGACCATGTGACCCAGCTGTTCAATTTCTACCATGTGACCTAGCTAGTCAAGTCTCATCATGTGACCCCACTGTACAACTCATGGACATTTGCTCACAAGACTCTAAGTCAACATGTCACAGTGATGCTTGTATGTCAATGTTTTTTGGAGCACTATTTACCATACCTAACTTGTGGAGAGCTGCTTGTTTGTCAGGCTGCTTTGTTATTAAATTCTCAGCAAAAAACATGTTTTTCACCCTGGCCTTCACAGGGAGACAGGGATGGCAGGATATTTTGCCAAGTTCACTTCCTTTTGTTTGAGACAGGGATAGGTAGGATGTTTTGCCAACATCACTTTCTTTTCTTTGTGTGAGGATCACACAGACAAGTGGTCAAGGTAAACAAGTTTGACTTCTCAATGAACCTCTTCATTGTACTGAGATGCTTTGCTCTGACTATAAAAAGGAATTGTGGAATAAGCCAAGTGCAACAGTTCTACTGGCAGCCCTCTCG